TTGCCCTTGAGCTCTGCCAGGTGTGACCCAAAATCCAAAAAGAGAAATATTTTGAATTTATCGATTTTTATTTTTTCTAACTTCCAGGTTTGTAGTTATATTGCACTCAGATTATTAAATGATTTTATCATGTTTTACTGTAGTGCTTTTGTTTATTTTGGTTTTGGGGCCACATGTAGTAGTGCTTATCGACTTCTTCCTACTCTGTGCTCACAGTTCACTCCTGGCAGTTCATGGGACCATGCGGTTCCAGGGATTGAACTTGGACTTCCCTCATGCAAAGCTGGTGCCTCAACCCATTCAGCTGTCTCTCTCCAATACTATGGCTTTATTTTCATACTTAAATTTTTAAGGAGTAATGCTAAGTTTTGACCCAGATTCACTGAAAATGAACTTTCCTCCTTTTCTACAATAAGTTGAAATGCCACCTTGATCATTTTCGAATTTCCCACATGCACTTGGAGCCTCTGTTCCACTGATCTTTCCCAATTCTGATTCAACACAGCTGTGCTGTTATAATACCTAGTAGGGCTGTCCTCCCTCATAATTAAACTTTTTTCTCTTGCCTGTCCTTGAGTCATTTTGATCAGATAAAAATAATTGGCAGTTGGGCCAGCGAGATAGTACAGGAGATCAGGTGCTTTCCAAGCACGCTGCCAACCCCAGTTTCATCCTTAGCACCACATATGGTTCTGCAAGTTATGCTAACAGTAACTCCTGAGCACCCCCAGCTGTGGTCCATCCCCATCCCCCCACACACACCAGAAAAAAAAAAACCAACAAACTACAGTTGATACTTGTTTAGCATTTGCTATGTTAAACAGGTACTAAAGTGTTAACAGGTACTTAAGTGATGTGCATTTGAATGCATTTAATCCTTCTGTCAACCTTACCAGATAGATGTTACCACAATGAAGTATTTTTTCCATATTTCATGGAAGAGTCATCTGAGACATCAGGGTTAAGTAACATATCCAAGGAAGCAGCAAATCAGCATAGGAACCCAGGGAAGTTGGGTCTGTGGGTAGAACCATAATTCTGTGTTATGCTTTCACATCAGTTTTCATTACAGCAAGCGTGGCTCTAATATGAGGGAACATTTGGAGTCATTTATCAACTTATATAGGAACAATCAAATTAATTATCATGGTGAATCTTAAGAGCAGCAAGGGAAAGTCTTTTTTAAAAGCTACTCTTGTCAGGGTTGGGGAGATAGCATAGTGAATTAGGAGCTAGCCTTGCACATGGCTGACCAGGATTCAATCCCTGGCACCCCAAGTGGTACCCAAGACCCAGCGGAAATAATCCCTAAGCACAGAATTAGGAGTAAACCCTGAACACCATCAGGTGTACCCCCCCCAAAAAAAGGAAAAACCAACAACCTGTGTCTCTGTTTTTGTATTGTTCAGCCCTTCTGTGTTCTTTAGAAATCTATGTTTTTCATTAGAATTGGGGACATAGTTCCAAGGGCTGGAGGGCACCATATGGTTCCCTGAGCGCAGTACATCTGCCTGTGCTCTCCCCAATAAATATATGAAGAGTTTTCTTTTCTGTGTCTTGAATTTTTTGTTAACCTAATTCTTAGATTTTTATTTTTGTTGGACTCTTTTGTTATATTTTTTAGCTGGTTATGGTTTGTGTATAGAAAGTTTATTTATTTATTTATTTATTGCTTTTTGGGTCACACCCAGCGATGCTCAGGGGTTACTCCTGGCTCTGCACTCAGGAATCACTCCTGGCGGTGCTTGGGGGACCATATGGGATGCTGAAAATTGAACCAGGGTCGGCTGCGTGCAAGGCAAACACCCTACCTGCTGTGCTATTGCTCCAGCCCCTAGATTTTTTTATTTTTTAAAAATTTTAGTTTTTGGATCACACCTAACGATGTTCAGTGTTAGTGCATGGCTCTGCATTCAGGAATTACTCCTGGCAATGCTCAGGGCTGCCGGGAATTGAACCTGTATAGGTCAAATGCAAGCAAGCACCCTGTTGTACTACTTGTCAGGCCTCAGTTTTTGATATTTTGAATAAATTTCTATCCAGTCCTCAGACTAAACTACCAGTGATGATCTCTGTGAAGATCAAAGTGTGGTAGAGCCATATAATTGAATACAATGCATATCTGTTAGGAACTATTTTAAAAATAGTTTAGAGGCTGGAGCAATAGCACAGCGGGTAGGGCGTTTGCCTTGCATGCGGCCTACCCGGGTTAGATTCCCAGCATCCCATATGGTCCCCTGAGCACCACCAGGGGTAATTCCTGAGTGCAGAGCCAGGAGTAACCCCTGTGCATCGCCAGGTGTGACCCAAAAAGAAAAAAAAAAAGTTTAAAATCAAAATGAGATTCCACATTTAAATGCCTACAAAAACTAATAAAAATAATGTGCACTGGTGAGAATATGGAGAAATTAAATTCAAATATTGCCAGTGGAGATGTAAAATGATGCAATCCCTCTGGAATGCTGGTTTGATAATTGTGCCAAAAGTAAAATGTAGTGTTACTATATTACCCAGCAGTTTCTAAGAGAACTGAAAATAGGTTCATACAAAAATTTATACAATTGGTTATAGTAGCCAGGAAGCAGACAAACCCTAGTCATTCAGTTTACTGGAGAATTTAAGAAGGTATATTTGTGTTAATAATACATTCTTTTGCAGTAAAAAAGAATACTGATTCATGCTGCAACAAGAATAAATCTTGAAAATCACGTGCCAAGTGAAAGACTTCATTTGCAGGATATTTGGAGTAGTGTGTGGAGAAGAGACTGTAATCTTCTGCAGTGGCGAGAACATGAGCTAAAGATAAGATATTGGGCCCCAAGTACAGAGTGGGTGTCTCCCCCGAAAAAAATGCAACAAAGCATAACTAATACCTAATGCATAGGTCTTACCTTTAAAGACTGTAAACTTGTGATTTCATGCTTCAGTCAATCTTATTGTACCCTATCAGACCTTTTTTTGGTCAATATGGACCCATTGGTCACTCTGTTTTAGCCATCCATGTTGATACCCGGGACCATATAGACCTAGGATGTCATATGCTCCAGTCCTTCCAGTCATCTTCTGGACCCCTATGTATGCTCTTCGGTTGACATGAAGTACTTCTTGCATCCTAATGAAGCCCTAAAATATTGAACAGAGTTTAATAGTAAACCAATCATTGAAGAATTTTGGTTTTTGGGCCACACCAGTGGTGCTCAAGGCTTATTTCTGGTTCGGTGCTCAGGAATCACCACTACCTGCGCTCAGGGGAACCCTAGTGGGTGTCAGGGATTAAACTCTGGTAAGCTGTGTGCAAGGCAAACACCCTACCTGCTGTACTATCTCTCCAGCCCCATTTAAAACCTATGTAAATAGAGTTGCTTTGCTTTAAAAAGCAAGACAAATACAAACACGGAAAGGAACTAAGACTTTCATCTGACCTTTACAATATTGATACTCTACTAAATTGGCTCACAAAAGTGCACATTTTATAAAGGAATCCAGCAGAATGAAAGTCTAGGAGTATTAAATTTAATTATTCAAAATAATGTGAGAATCTCTGAAGTTCTGAACCAGAGCTGGACTTGACAGTAAGGTAGTGTTCTTTTTCCCATTGATGCCTTTATTCCAGAAAGCTCCTGCGTGACTGTGTAAAGATTAAGTGGTGGCTCACCTGGGTTTCCTATAAAACGTGCTAGTTTTTGCACGTATTGGCCTCAGCTGAAGGTTTGAATAAAAATATTCAGCCTGTTCTAGTATTCACGTGTCAGGAGCCAACATGAAAATCAGATGCCTTAAGCCTGAGAAAAATGTCTTCGATTGCCTGCGAAGAGACAGTAAAATGAAATAATTGGCAACTTTAGTATCAGAAGCCAAAGAAATGTCTGGGGACTGAAGTGATAGTACAGTGGATAGGGTACTTGTATTGCATGCAGCTGACCAGGATTGGATTCCGTGTCCCACATGGCCCCCTGAAGTGATTCCTGAGTGCATAGTCAGGAGTGACACCTGAGCACTGATGGGTGTCTACCAGTCCCCAAACTAAATAGAAATGTCCGTAGTGTTTTCTGAAAATTTTAACAGGTTCATTTATCCAGAAGGCAAAACTTAATAGTGCTTAATATTTTTCTTGCAATACCAGGGATCGATCCACTTAACTCACCCATGAGAGACCTACCGTTGAGTCCCATCACCAGTCACCAAGTATTTCCATAAGAAGCCTAGATATGTATACTTCATTCTACCCATGAATACCAGTTCTTCTATTAGGTTGTTTTTATTCCTAAATGAACCACAAGATCTCATATTTACTGAAATTTTAAGGAAGGGCCACCATATAGAATAGAGGAAGCAACAAGAAATGCCCAATACTCCTTGTGTGCCCCCATAATAGCTTATCCAGCACGCACACCTGTGCCACTTTAGATATGCTGGGGCACTGCTTCCTGGTCCAGATAAAATATTGATTTAATACTAGTTCATCTGGAACACAATACTGTGTCTTGATATATTCTAATTTCTTCCTGTTCAATTGTCAAGTAAGAAAAAGATCTCCTTTGCTGTTTCTACATTTAACTCAAACTTTCTTAGCATGTCTTATATTTTAAATCTTTTTCTTCATTGTAGCTTTGTCAAATATTCAGACTATTTTATGTTGGCAACAGGATCCTAACCTCTCCAATTACCTAGATCTGCACTCGAAGCTGGAAAAAGGGTATTTTCTGCCTACTCTCTCCACAAAACACAGTTTACACATTGACTACAAGATATAGTGGATTGTATTTCTTTTCTGAATATGTCAGCAATCTTTATATTTTCCAAATGTAGCTCAGTGGTAGAGCACCTGCCTTGCATGTGCCAGGCCTTGCACTCAAATCCCAGCGTTAAGGAAGAACCAAAGGTCTATTAAGCACAACTGGGTCTTTTGTAGACAGAGCTATTTTTGTTGCAATGGGCATGTGATTGGTCTCAATTGTCTTAACCAATAAAAGCTCTATGTGAAAGGATGGTTCTATTTTAATTTATGCGATGGCATTAGTCTTCAAAAACAGAATTAGTAACAAATAATGAGGAGACTGTGATTTGCTTGGGAAAGTTTAATTTCGAAATTTCTTCTTCTTCCGAAACTTCTTTCCTGCAGCATTTGCTGTTTTCTCAGCCATGATCTCAGCATACTTCCTTCGGTTATATCTAAAACGGAAAACCAAACATTTCAGTTCTAATGAATCACATGCCAGACAGGAGATGTTAAGGTGGCCTCTGTGTATATATTTATGTGTGAAGAAGCAAATAAGCTTCTAAGTCTATTTACATCTGAAAATGGAGCCACTAGAGACCCACACACTACACTGTTACCAGATGTTGTTAAATTCTTTTCACTTTTGGTAGAAGTACATAAAACACTTAACAACAAAAAAAAATCTAAAAATTACCTGAAAACACACATTTATTTCTTAGAACCTGAAGAAACATGAGTGACCAATGATTTTCAAAGTCTGGTATATGAATGAGAACCTTTCAAGGGGTCATTACAGATAAGCCTATTTTCATAAGAACACCAGGTTATCAATAGCCTTTTCACTCTCATACATGGTGAAGTTTTCCAGAGACAATTATTTGTGTGGTCTCTTAGCAGAATGATGCAGAAGCAAATCGAGGCTCTAAATGTCTAAGCCAAAGAGTTTAAGAGGATTATTTATACTCTTGTTCATGGAAGTATCTACTAACATTTGAAATATTTTGAAATGAATATAATTTAAAGTTCCTTCATTTGAATTTAAGTTAGGATATTGACAACTAATCCACGAAACAAAGTTCCTTAAATTTTCAATAATTTTTGGTTTGTTTTAGGCCATACTTGGTGGTGCTTAGCGGTCAGTCCACTCATGTGGTAAAAGAGACAGAACCAGGCTTCCTTATATAGTGTATATGTTCAGCCCTTTGAGCTATTTCTCTGGTCCAGACCTTCAATAATTTTTTAAGCATTTCAAGCCAGAGAGAGTACAGCTTGCCTTTCACATGTCTGACCCAGATCCGATCCCCAGCACTCCATATGGTCTCCAGTGCCAGCCAGAATAAGAAGCAAGCACTCAACACCGCTGGGTTTGGCCCAAAACACAAATCAAAAACATTTTTTTGTTTAAAAGAGATTAACAGAATCCTTAGAGCAAAGAACTATTGCCACATACTGCAAACTTTTCTCCAGTGGGCTTTAGAAAAGCCATAAGCATAATTTATTACAGAAATGATGCAGTAGTTAGAACTCCCAATATTTTAAAGAAGGGCCATCAGTAAATAGGAAAAGTCAAATATTCCCTAAACTGGGCTATAGAGATACTACAGCCAATAAGGCACTTGTCTTACACATGGCAGACCAGGGTTCAATCCCCAGCATACCATATGGTCTCCTGAGCACCACCAGAAGTAATTTCTGACTGCAGAGCCAGTCCCTAAGTATTCCGAGGTGTACCTCCTCGCCACCGCCCCATCCCTAAACAGGGCCAGAGTAACAATACAGTCAATAGGGCATTTGCCTTGCACCCTAGAGCCAGGAGTAAGCCCTGAGTATGTGGCCCAAACCCTTTGCCCCCAAATTCCCTAAACATAACAGTCTTTGTTCGAAAGCATTTTTTTTTTTGGTTATATAATTCAAACCTGCACTAAAGCTAAGATTAAGCTGACATTCTTCCCTATTTTTGAAATTATTTGTTCAGTCTCATACCAGGGACTGGAGTGATATTACAGTGGGTAGGACATTTGCCGTGCACACAGCTGACCCGGGTTTGATTCCCAGCATCCCATATCATCCCCCAAGCACCGCCAGAAGTTAATTCCTGAGTGTAGAGCCAGGAGTAACACCTGTGCATCACTGGGTGTGACTCCCCCCCAAAATGATGATACATTAAATATACTCAGTGAGTTAAACTATTAAAATCTCTTGAGGATGTTAAAGAGGGATTAAAACATTTTTACAGATGGATGGGTTTAGTATTTCACATTGGTGGTATACACATTTATGTGGCAAGTAGAAAATACGAATTTTACTGAGTCAATTTATATAAACAACAGAAATAAAAATCATACAGCCTCAAGTTGCATTAAAAAAGCTAGTAGTATTTGTATATTTGTTTCTCACTTAAAATCTCTGAGTAATAACCTGTGATGGTTAATATTTATATATATACATTTTCTAGGACTGGTCCACAGGGTGTTGTGATGTCATCAACCTGGCTTGGTCTGTGAGGATATCTCAAAAAGAAAATATCTGATTTTTTCCCCCCTTCCCTTTTTGGTCACATCCGACAATGCTCAAGAATTACTCCTGATGGTGCTCCTGGGTCCACACGGGATGCCAGGGACTTCCCTGAGCTGGCTGTGTGTAAAGCAAGAGACCTACCCATGGTACTATCTTTCTGGCCCAGTAACATTTGAATTTTTATATAGAGTGAAGCAGGTTGCCCTTTGCCCTCCACAATGATTCATCAAATCTGTTGAACATTTTTGAGCAGAATAGAAGGCTTAAAACAAAATTTTTACATTTTTAGTACCCCTCCACTGACCTCTCTCCAACACCCTTCACTACTCTGTCTCAGTCTCCTAACAGACTCCTCCTCTTCGAGTTAAATACCTCCATGCTTCCCTCTGAAGTAGAGGCACTAACCTAAGTGCTACCCTGGGATTCATCTGTCCTGCAGGACACACTGGGAAATGTCTAAAACATTTTTATGGTCATGAACGGGATGGGAGAATGGTGCCACTGACACACAGTGGTGGACAGAGGTTAGAAGCTAGAGATGCTGTTAAATATCCGACAGAACTATACCCCCAATAATTATCCCATGCAAAATGTACACCATACTGCTATTAACAAATTATTAGTGGCTCTTCAAGCTCATGATCTTCCTTAAACATGTATGCAACTCACTCGTCTCTATGTCTCTTGGTTTTTTCCACTCTGGAGAATCCCCATATTCTCTCTTGAATATATACTTTCTCTCCCCTCACATCTTTCTAAATAAGTTTAAATTAAAAAAAAAAAAAAAGGAATCTACTAGAAATGGACAATGGTTAACTGAAAATAAAACCTCGGGCTCTGACAATAGAACAACTGAGGTTGATGGTTGGCTGTGGAACATCAGGGTTGTGGTGGGCAGAAGGGGTGAGTGTGGCGGGGAGACAACTACTATAAAAACAACAAAGAAATTATGCTAACTCATTTTAAATGTGTCTTAGAGGGGCTGGAGTGATAGTAAAGCGGGTAAGCCGCTCGTCTTGCACATAGTGGACCCTGGCTCAATTCCCGGCATCCCATATAGTCCCCCAAGCACCACTAGGAGTAACCCGAGCATAGCTGGATGTGGGCCTCACCCCACTCCTACTCCCCACCAACCCTTATAACTGAAAAAGATCATGTGGAAAAAAGTTTCAAGAAGCTTTGGTCTAAAGGAAAACATGCATATTAAAGTGAAACAGAGTTTGATACCTTCTGAACTCAGAATCAGCCAGCAGCTCTTCCACAATAGTTCTCTTCCTCTGTTTCTTGGGAATTCGTGAATGGTAGAAGTCAGCTGGATTGTCAGCAATGGTTCCAATCTATAAAAAAATTATTGAAATAGGTCACTGAACAGCTGTATGACAAGTTTGTTTATTTCAGGGAAGCTGTAAAAAAGATATTTACAGAAAGGAACAGAAATGGAAAATAAGCTTGTATTATATCAGTATTAAAATTAGGTATGCCATCTTTTAAAACAAAAGTAGCCTATTCGATCTGCACATTTGGTCCCACTAATGACATTTCTTCATTAAGTTTACAGTAGATCCAAAATTCCTTTTCATATCATTTAGCAGTAGCAGAGTAAATTCTTGACAAAAAAAAAATTTATAGAAAACCAAAACATGTATTGTTTTGCTTTACTTTTACAATTCAATGAAATAGGCACAAATTCTACCACATACCCATTTGAGCTCTTGGATCAATGTATCTGTAAATACTTAGTGACTTTCCTGCATTTGTTTATACACTGAACAAAGTGCCTACTAGGCAAACATGCCAGGTGTCAAGGAAACAAAAACAAAGCCCAGGGGGCCAGAGAATACAGTGTGTAGAACGCCTGTTAGCATGTAGCCAACCCAGGGACCCAGGTTCAATTCCTGGCATCCCCTATGGTCCTCAAGCTCGAGTGAAGAGCCAGGAGTTTTCCCTGAGCACCTCAGGGTGTGGCCCCCAAACAAACAAGACAACAACCACAATTAAAACCAAAACCCATCTGGTCCCAGACAGTAACAAACCCAGTACTATGGGAGATCCACACACAAACTAAAAACCTACCTAAGGGGTTTTGCATAGGAAGACATTTTAATTTGGATTAGATTGGATAAAAAATTTTTTTCTGGCCTACATTCAGTGGTACTCAAAGCTTACTTCTGGTGGACTCAGGGGATTGAACCTGGTGCTAGGGATAGAACCCAGATAGGCTACATGAAAGGCAAGCATCTTACTTGCTGTACTATGTAGCTGTACTATTCTAGCTGCTGACTGGATAAAATTTCTATTTTCTTTTTTTCTTTTTTTTGTGCCACATCTGGTGATGCTCAAAATGTTATTTCTGGCTCTGCACTCAGGAGTCCGTAAGGCATGTGGGATCGAACCTGGATAGGCCATGTGCAAGGCAAGAACCTTAGGTACTGTATGATCTCTCCGGCCTCTAGGTAAAATTTCTTTAAGCAAGCATTCACTGTAGGGTCAACTCCATGTAAAGAAAGAATCCCCTTAGTCTGTTTATTCTGAGAAGACCAAGTAGATGAAATGTGCTAGAACCAAGTCTTTCTACACTGAAAAACTGTACATAACAGTGCTTGTCTAATCAGGTATTAAACTAGGGGACTAAAAAAAGTCTGGTGAACTGACTTGGGTGCCAATCAAGAGGGTTTATATTAAGTGTTTATAAGCCCATAAAGAATCAGTATAGGTACCACTAAATGTGTTACTCACACTGATTCTTTATGATGTTCATGATATCAATGAAAGATATAACGAACAGATGTTTTAAAACAGATGGCTGGCTACAATGTGGAGGACAGACAAAACTAGAGCAGCCCTAGAAGCAGGACTACTGAATAATTAGGATGAGTAGTAAGAAATGCAGTCAAGGACAAAATGTACTTAAAGAGTAGGGGTCAGAACGTTAGTGCAGCGGGCAGGGTGTTTGCCTTGCATTTGGCTGATCTGGCTTTGATCCTGGTTCCCCATCTAGTCCCCTTTGCCTACCAGGAGTGATTCCTGAGTGCAGAGCCAGGAGCAAGGCCTGGATGGGCATAGCTGGACGTGGTAAAAAAAAAAAAACAAAGGGTAAAAAACAAACAAGCAAACAAACAAATAAGAACAACAAAGACAAAAACCAAAGAGCTACTAGAGTATGAATCAACTAGATTTTCTTTTGAATGCACATTGAAGGGCTGGAGCAATAGCACAGTGGGTAGGGCGTTTGACTTGCACGCAGCAGAGCCGGATTTGAATCCTCTGCCCCTCTCGGAGAGCCTGGCAAGTTACTGAGAGTATCCCGCACACAAGCCTGGCAAACTCCCTGTGATGTATTCGATATGCCAAAAACAGTAACAACAAGTCTCAGACTGGAGATTGGTGCCCGCTAGAGCAAATCGATGAATAACAGGAGGACAGTATACTACAATGCACACGGAAGATCAACTTTTAGCACTTTTAGAATTTAACCGAGAATTTTAATTTAATGAAATAATTTATTTAATTTCTCTATCTTGAAATAAAAGTTTGTTACAAATGATTCCTTCTTTCTGCCTTCATTATTCAAGGACTCTTGCTGAGATTAGTACTATTCATAAAGGGTACATTACCTTGATATGGAAATTCAGGTGGTATGGTAATCCAGTGAGCATTTGCAATAGTCTCTCTACACTGAAAATCTTTATAAAATAGTGCCTGTCTAACCAGGCTTTACCCTAAACAGATAAAAAACATACTAGACATTTGCATCATAAATGCTCATCTATTTTAAGAGAAAACAAAAAGCTCTTTCCAAACTAAAATCCATAGAATATGACCACTACAATTCTGTGTACTTCATACCTGGAAGTATTTGGGGAAGCCATCCCTGTCATTTTTCTTGTAAAACCTTTTTGGGTCCATGCTAGCTCTCATCTTCAGTGCTTTGAGATCATTTTTTAATTCATCTGTCAATTCTGGAGCTTTCATGCCAAACCAGCCATCACCTGCTGTTTTTTGTTTTTCTTTCTGAAATTCAGATATTAAAAAAATAATTAACCACCAGAGTATAAATTATACACTCCCCTCCCCCAACAACCCCCAAACACACAGAAACTCACATGAATTAAAAACATGATTAAGTGGGATCTCAGTAGTTTCAATCCTGGGAACTACATGGTCGTCCCTCCCACCCCCACCAGAAGTGATCCCTAAACTTAAAGATACACAGGAAGGTAGTAAAAAAGATCCAAAGGCAACATAATGGTAGAACTGGTCTACACAACTGATTTGGGGGGACAGGGATCCTGGGAGCAGGGAGTTGTGGGGTCCTTGGGAGACGGAGGGGGGAACAGTGGTGATGGGGGTGGTGTGAGAATTAGGTGCATAGGATATTATTAAAAGCATTGTAAACTACAGAACCTCAATTTTAAAGTAGTAACCCCCCAGAGTGCTATGTATACCCCCAACACATCATCTCCCAAAAAACAAATGAGCTAATTTATTTTATAGGATGGGTTAGTCTCCAGAGTAATTTTTCATAAAAGGAATCAAATCATGAGTGTTTTCTATGGTTTGGCACCACATCATCAGCTTCATATATGAAGGTTCCTCAGCATTTGGTATTTTAGCAAAATGTACAAACTTGCTGAGAAATAACTCATTAGCTTCAACTTTTACTGTGCAAAAAACCAAGTTTATATAAGATATAACATGGGAGAATGTTTTCAGTGGGCCGGGAAGATAGCATGAAGGGCTGGAACACACACTTACATGAGGGAAACCCAGGTTCAGTCACCAATACTGCATGGTCCCTCATACCATCTACAGTGGCACCTTGTGCAAATGCTTTCACTTTGGGGGTTCATCTATAATAGTTGAACCCCCAAGTGATATTAACACTTTTACTAGTTACTCTTATAGTCCAGAAACTGGTGTTTCTAAAATTAAAATTGCTTGTTTTGGAAATTCCTAGAAAGGTATTTGCTTCGTATGCATCACTGGCGGAACAAATACCGAGTGCCTGCCATGTGCTAGAACGTGCGATGATAGTGACCAAGCATTATTTGAGCACTACCCTCCAGTTTCCTTCAAGCTCTTGGTAACTTCTTTATGGTTATTAGCTGAAACAGCAGATTTAATAGATGAGGGCAGTGACTGTAACCTTTGGTGCAGTTACAAGTCAAATGAAACACTACTCAGTGCATCCCCATGCTATGAAATCTCCAGAAGCAAGTTTATGTAAGTATATGTCAAGGATCCCTAGAATTCTATAGTAACTTTCTTTTACCAATGGAAAATAAGTAGTAAAACAAACGCTGTAATTAAGAGTCACCATACTCACCCTACGTTTTTTCTGAAGTTGATACTGTGATTCACGGTATGGTGGGACAGTGTAATTTTTTTCAAAATCAGGAGTAATGACAGCTTTCTGCAGAAGCTATTAAAACATTAAATCGGCTTTTAAAATATCAAAATATCATTTAAAGTATTTTTGGCTTAGAGTTACCCCCCCTCCCCCCAAAACACACACACACACACACACACACACACACACACACACACACACACACACAGTACTACTACAAATACATTAAACTTTGCTTGTGTAGGCTAAGACCCTCAGATGCTGATGGTCTTAGCCTTAATCATCTAACTCTTGAAAATACTGCTGAGCCGGCTAAACAGTTGACACACAGAAATTCTGTCTCATAGCCAAAGTTGGCCACAGACTTCAGCCAAGGGTGTGTGTTATACACATAAGTTGTTGTTGACCTGGATTAATAACACTTGGGGGGCTAACACTCAGTTCTAGAACACCATTGTTCTAGAACCTGAATTACAACAGTGGCTCCTTTAGCAGGTTCTTTCTCTGGTAAGGAACTACAGCTCTGAAAGTACATTCCAAAGTACTTTTTGGAGGAATCAGTTTTTTTTTTTTTGGGGGGGGGGGTCATACCCAGCAATTCACAGGAGTTACTCCTGGCTCTGCACTCAGTAATTACTCCTGGTGGTGCTCAGGGAACCATACAGGATGCTGGGAATCAACCCGAGTTGGCTGCGTGCAAGGCAAACGCCCTACCCACTGTGCGACAGATCCAGCCCCAGAATCATTCTGTTTTTAGGTGAAAATAATGCCACTGTATTCTCTCAAAAGCTTTGGATGCATGTTCAAAAAGCCGATGATCAAGCAAATAAATTCTGTGAAACCAAAACCCTAGAAGAGTGAGAAGGAACAACCTAAAAAGTAAAACAGGGCACTCTGAGCTTGGAGGAGCCCTTGAGTACTGCTAGGTGTGCCCTGCTTCCCCGCCAAAAAAAAGATCAAGACCTAGTCATGGTCTACCTGTAAACATCATTAGGAAACCAGGAAACATTGTGAAATAGTACCTGGGAACGTCAGGTTCAATCCCTGGCACTGAAGTGGTACCTGGGAACGTCAGGTTCAATCCCTGGCACTTTATATGGTACCATGAGCACCTCTAGGAGTGCTCCCTAAACAGAGTCATAAGTAAGCCCTGACCCAAAAGCCAAATAAAATAATTTTTAAAAATGGCTCAGGATGGATGGTTTATCAGATGGTTCCCCAGATTAACACCTTTGAGCAAATAGCAGAATTAGCCTCTCTAGGGCTTTAATGTTAGCGTATCAGAGAGAAACCTGCAAAAGAACTCCCTGACTTTCCCTAAGGGAAGGTGGTATCAGAAAGAAATCTTTTTCCTATTTGTTACACCTAGATGCTGGGAGAACAAAAAAGCTCAAACCTGGGGCTCCTAAATTTAAAGCATGCACTCTAGCTCACCGAGTTATCTCCCTGGCCCCAGTAATTTTCTTCTTGTCCCACCCTCTGACTACAGAAATTTTCTATCTTAAGAACTACCCTTGCAGAATCTTTCTACTTGCTAGAAAAGGATGCTAACATATTTAGTAACCATTTAATACAGCCAATTAGATCCCTGGTGAACATAAAAAGTAGAGCAATTTAACACAAGAAATACAACCTTGTGATAACTGGTGGGTCCAATGGCAATAGTGATCCTGTGTTTATTTTTCAAGCTTTTTTTTAAAAAGACGGCTTGCATTTTGTTTTGGGGCTGCATGCAGTGGTGGTAAGAAGCTATTCCAAGCTTGCTCTTGACAGTCTTAAGCCTGGTCTCCAGCATGCAGGGGGCTAAATATCCCTCCCACCTCCATCCCCAATACCAAGGGGTGTGGCCTGAGAAAAATAAAAAAGATTTGCAAGGGAAATAATCAGAATACCTTAAGCCACCACAGTGTAGAAAATTAGGTCCTTTACCAAGGACTAATCATTTTTGGACGAGATTAGGTCAGCACTGTGAAAACCAATTGGGACGTTATATAATTTACCTCATTTTTCTTTTTTTCCTTAATTTGTGTCAGGGTTTTCTTATTTGACTGTAGTTTATCTGCATTTATGTTGATGTATAAACCACCTAGTTGCTTGATACTTAGACCAGGGTCTATGCTGCTGCTTGTCAACTTCAGGCTGAAAGAAAAAATGATTAATTAGATGATGAAGTAATTAAGTGATCAATTAGATCAAACAGAAACTAAAGAACGTATACAATTTTTGTTTTAGAAGAGATGGAACTTGGGACCTCACACATGCAAAGCATGTAAGTTACAATCCCAGTCAATTAAAAAAATATATGTATCTTTTTTATTGGTAAGGGATATGGCTCTGTAGTTAAAATGTATGCCTTGCAAGCATGATATCCCCAGCACCACATATACACAAAAATATTACATTTAAAAAATCATTTAGAATTCTTGGAAATAAAAAATAAAACAAACTTTTGTGGAACACATGCAAATATATTCCCCAGATTTTCTTAAAGGACAAGATTTCATAAAGGGACTTCATAAAGGATTCTGATGGAAGAATTACAGAGGGGTACCAGACAACATTTGGCAATTCATGCTACCTCACATGTAGTGAGTAAATATACCTGTCTCCAGAACAAAAGAGAAAGACAGGTTCTCCTTCCTATAGTGAATTCTCAAGTTAACCAAACTTAGGTTTGGGTTTTTTGGGTTTTTTTTTTTTTTAAAACCAAAATGAACAGAGGGTATGATGAAAACCCAAACCTAGGTTTGGGTTTTTTTTATTTTTTTGTAAATAAGGGCAACTTTTAATCCCTATAAACCAATGAGTTGTTTTTGCTTTTTTTGGAGAGGGCCCAGAAGCCACACTTAGCCAATAGGGCTGGTGGCTGAATGCCAGGGCTTGAGGATGCTTGGGCCCTGAGGTGCATGGGTGCCTCCAGGGTTACACTCAGTGAGCTTGCACAGTCACTAGGTGCTGCGTTCCTCAGGTCTGCTGTATGCCCTAATTGTGGCTCTATCTCCTGGCCCAAATATTACCTTTTTACAACCAGCAATAGAGGACCGAAATGACAGTACAGTAAATAGGGTGCTTGCCTAGTATAAGGTTTAATCCCTGGCATCCCTTAAGGTCCCCCAAGCACCACCAAGAGTGATCCCTAAGTGCAGAGCAAGAATTAAGCTCTGAGCAGTTGTTTGCCCAAAACCCAAAAATAAACAAACGATAAGGTAAGATTACAGGTGATCCCATGGCATATTTTCGATTCCATTTTTTTTTACAATAAATAACAACTTGATGTATCAAAGTTACTGGGGAAAAGGGGAAGAACTTACAGTTTAGACTTTGTGTTATTGAGTAAATCATCTTCATCGCTAAACTCACTATCTTTACTTAGGTCATGGTCTGATGATTCTTCACTCTCGTCATCCTTATCCCCCTCTCTCTCTTCCTCATCTCTTTCTTCCTCAGTGGCAACGTCACTTGCCTTGTCTTCCTCATCCAAGTAAAAATTTTTATCAGAACTCAATCCAGGAGTTTTATCAATTACAAATAAGGCATTGTCACATGACATATTTTCAGAGTCTCTAGTTAATGATTCCTGCTGACCACAACTGTCAACAAAACACACAGTGTCCTCTTCATCCTCACTGTCTTCAGACTGCTGGTTTTCATCACTGCTGAGAACTAACAAAAGAGAATCTTCTTTATCCTGAGGTGTGTCCAACTTCGAATTGTGGAGCTCAGCATCATACTCAAAATCTGTATCCCTTTTTTCATTCGTATCTTCACCAACATCTATTATTGTACACTCTTCTTCATCACTCCCCCCCACCTCCATTTCTTCATCACTCCCACCCACCTCCACTTCTTCATCATTCCCACCCTCCACTTCTTCATCACTCCCCTCCTCCTCCGCTTCTTCATCACTCCCACCCTTCTCCGCTTCTTCATCACTCCCACCCTCATCCACTTCTTCATCACTCCCACCCTCCTCCGCTTCTTCATCACTCCCACCCTCCTCCGCTTCTTCATCACTCCCACCCTCATCCACTTCTTCATCAGTCCCACTCCCATCCATTTCTTCACCACTCCCATGCTTATCCAATTCTTTCAAGTCACTTGATTTCATAGTGCTCATTCTTTCATCATACCCTCTGTTCATTTTGGTTTCAAATGTTTTAGCTAATGACTTCATTATAGTCGTACAGCTTGAGTTTGAGGGTTCTGGTGTGATTTTGCTATCTGTGGGGGTTGAATGCCTCTGAGAAATTAATTGTTGAAGGCTAGTATTGTTAAGTTCAGATTGATTCTTTAACTGAGAATTCTTCACATTAATTTCTTTTTTACCATCTATTACTTCTTTGGCTTCTTCATCTAAAATCTTAGAATTCTGATGTGGTATTTCTTTAAGAGGTGCATCATTAGCTTCTTTCCCCCCTCCCGTAGTAAGAAGTTGGCATTTTTGTCCGGATAGCTTTTTCCCTGAATTTCTGAGAAATTCAGAGTCACAATCATGAGATGTTTGTCTGGTATCTGAGTCTCTTGATTTCACAGGTGTATCTTTGCTTTGCTTTTCATTTCTTAGTACTCTATTTTGTTCATTAGGCTGTAATTTCTGCATACTTCTAGTTGTTCTCCTAGTTGCAATTCCAGAAAATGAAGAAACATCTGAGCAAGATGACTCAGCATCAGAAATTGCTTCCACATATGATTCTTGACTTGGCTTTATTAAGGATTTGGCCTTCCTTCTAGTTCTTGTAGATTTTACTGTTGGGGTCACAATTCTAGAGATACCTGAAGTATGTGATTCTGCTTCAGAGACGACTTCCTCAGTATTAGACTGACTTATAGGAGCGTCTTTCACCTTTTTCCTCACGTGAGGCGTCCGGGGGCATACAACTAAAATCTGCCTTCTCCTAGTTATTCTTAAAAAGGTCTCCTGAACCTCAGACACAGAGGAACAATCTGACTCTGCTTCAGAGATCTCTCCGCCAGTAGATGGTTTGGTCATTTCTAGTTGAGAACTTGTATTTCTGCTCTTTCTCATTTCGGATCTAGGAGGAATTCTAGGAATTGGACTTTGTTTCTCAGTGGTCTGAACCTGCGATTCAGCAGTTCTTGGATCATTAGATCGAGCTTCTTTCCCATCATCTGGATGTACTTCATTTCTTTTAGCTGCAGAATTCTGTAAGCCAGAAGAAAATACTGCTCTTCAGGAAGGGTTTAAGTGAGTGTTCAAGGTCAAAATTAGCATGCAGTGCTTTAGAAGCAAGTTAGTGTCCAAGCATTGCAACTAACTGTATTCAAACCTCTGAGCAGTGCTGCTAGGTATGTGAGCACCACAGACACAACATCAACCCACCACCAACGAAGGTTAAGGGGCTGTTAGCGCTGCCCTGTAACCCTCAACAAAGAATAAAAAAGTCACTCAAAAAAACGCAGTAAACAAAACACAAATGCAACCACGACACCAGACATGGGGATGGAGGTTGGGAATCCCACAACTTAAAATCCTGTATCTGACTAGCTTTTGCAGGACTCTGCCTCATTCGCCCTGCCTAACGACGGGAAGCAAAACCAATCGCTGAAAAAAGGAAGAAATCTTCACCTCCGGTCAAAATATGTTCAGCGGCTCCCCTCCCCGATCTGAGTGGCGGGGAATCGCAACCTGAGATCCAAGATACTCCTGAATCGCTGTCTCAAGACAATGTGGAGCCTGCTTAAGTCTAAAGACTGACACCGAAGGGTTTTCACCGACACTCTTGAGTTTACGCCCTGCCACCAGAAACAAGCAGCGACGGGCGTCCCGGCGGCGTCACCCAGCCAAGGCCTGCGTGTCCCGCGTGGAAAAAGGGGCGTCTTTCTCCAAACACACTGGCTAACCCATGGTGGCCCAAACCCAACAGCAGCAGCAAAATGAAAGCGCCACGGAGCCCAAGGGCCCCAGCCGTCACCTCCGTGCTTCCCAACAAGTGCTGTCTACAGACCCCACAGTGCGGAGTGAAGAAACCAGTAGAAGCCCGGGCCGGTCCCGTGCAGCCCCGCACCGCATGCTCAGGCCCTTCCAGCGCACCCGCCCGGATCCTGGTGTTGCCTCGTTCCCTGGCGCCGCCGTAGAAGCAGCGAGCAGAAAAGGAGGGACCTCTCGGCTCCTACCTTCGGCCTTGAGTTTTCCGCCAGCGTTCTCTGGATGCTGGCCCGAGACCCCGCCGACCTGGTAAGCACCATCTTGTCGGCTTCCCGGCAGCTAACCAGGCAGGCGCCGGCTTGCTGGCGCCCCGGAAGTGTGTCATAGCAGCGTCGCGCGGATTTTGCGCGCAGTCTCGGAACTCGCGAGAGTTTGTACTTGGCTCCGTCCCATTCGCCCAGGCCAGAGCTGTGTGGGTTTCCCCGGATTCGCTCTCAGAGGCTCGTGCAGCCACCGACCTGCTGGAGCGGACGGTCTGTGCGTGGATGGCCGGACTCACAGAAGACAAGGGATGGGAGAACGGAGCCTGCCTTCTCGTTTGTACAGCAGTTCTTTTCTTTTTCTGATTAATTTCTAAATTAATTTTATTTGAGATAGAGCATTACAAAATTGTACAAAACTGATTGCGTTTCAGTTATATATAGTGTTCCAACACCCATCCCTCCACCGGTGTAATTTCCCAGCACCAGCATCCCCAGTTTCCTTCCCACCCCTTAAAGCCACCCCCCCCCCACCCCAGCCTGCCTCTACGGCAGGCACCTCTCTTCTCACTCTTATTTTCTCTCTCTCATTTTAGGCATTATGGTTTGAGATATAGAGGCTGAAATATTATCATGTATGTCCTTTTACCTGCTTTCAAGATTTAGTTCTTGTCCAGAAGTTACCATTTCTAATTAGTGCTGTCACAGTGGATCCTTTATCTTAACATCCATCTCCCACACCATTGACCAACCATTGACCAGTCTTCCTGACCCGTTTTCACTGGTATTGGGTATTAGTGTCATACTGGTACAACAATTTATTTATTATTATTATTATTATTATTTGCTCTTTGGAACACACCTGGTGATGCACAGGGGTTACTCCTGGCTCTGCACTCAGGAATTACTCCTGGTGGTGCTCAGGGGAGCATATGAGATGGTGGGAATCGAACCTGGGTCAGACGCATGCAAGGCAAATGCCCTACTCTCTGTACTATCACTCCAGCCCCAAGTATAGCACTTTTTAAAAAAAAAAAATTATTAGTGAAACACCATGAGGTATAGTTGTAGACTTACACATTTTTGTGCTCAGGTTTTAGTTATAGGTACAGCAATTCTTTTTTTTTTTCTTCCACTTTTTTTTTATTAATTTTTATTAGTGAAACACCATAAGGTACAGTTGTAGACTTACAAATTTTTGTGCTTGGGTTTCGATTATATAATGATCAAATACCCATCCCTCCACCAGTGCCCATTTTCCACCACCAACTTGGATCCCAGTATCCCTCCCACCCCCATCCCCCCCATCCCACCCTGCCTCTGTGGCGGGGCATTCTCTTTTGTTCTCTCTCTCCTTTTGGGTGTAGTGGTCTGCAAAAGAGGCATTGAGTGGCAGTCATGTTCGGTCCATAGTCTGCTTTCAACATGCATCTCCCATCCTGGGAGGATCCTCCAAACACCCTTTATTTGGTGCTCCCTTCACTATCTGAGCTGCCCTTTCCCCTAGAATGCCCGGTGGTACAGCAATTCTTAAGGTAGCCATGGGTGTGGCTACAGGAGACCTGTGCATTATTTTATAATAGTTTATTTCCCCCAAAGAACTTTCATTTTACTTGATATGTTAAATGTAAATAAAGACTTAGTGGAGTTAATGGTCTTTGTTAGATCTCAGGAACAGACACTAGAGGCCAAGATAGGACATTCTCTGAAGGTGAGATGTGGAGTGGGGATTAGAAATAAGAAAAACAGAAAAGCTCAAGTGTAAAGGAGAGAGATACCTGTATTTCTCTATGTCTTGTATATTTGAAGTAAAGAGAAGAGAATGACCAGCATGAGAAGTCTTTATTCTCATTTTGAATGAAGGTTGGAGAGCTGGAATACTCACTGGATATTTAAGCGAAGGAAAGTTAGAAGGGATACTGTTGTAGGTGGGAAAAGACAGTGTCTCACCAAATCTTTTTTTTTTTTTCCCTTTTGGGTCACACCCGGTGATGCACAGGGATTATTCCTGGCTTGTGCACTCAGGAATTACTCCTTGCAGTGCTCGGGGGACCATTTGGGATGCTATGAATCGAACCTGGGTCGGCTGCATGCAAGGCAAATGCCCTACCCCCTATGCTATTGCTCCAGCCCAAATCTTTACTTCTTTGGTGGAAAGCTAGGGAGTGAGTGGGATGCATGTGGTGTCGGGGATTCAACTAACACCTTACCCATTCAGTAGTGCTTTATGGTCTCCAGGGCTAAACCTGGCGATAATCTGGGGGCAGGATGCCATGCTGGATCCTACGAGTGGCCCACGTGGGCAAGATATACTCCCTAACTCTTGTACTATCTCTCCGGCCTCTGTCTTTTGTGTGTGTGTGTGTTGAGGGGCCACATGCAGAGGTGCTCAGGACTTACTCCAGGCTCTTTGCTCAGGGAACAATCCTGGCAGGGCTCAGGGGACTCTATCTGGTGCCAGGGATTGAACCTAAGTTAGGCACATGCAAGACAAGGACTTTATTCTATCTCTTCTGCCCCCATATGTTCATTAATAGCTGAAGAGAGAGCCAAATGGGCTGAGTGCATGCTTTGCAGGCTGGAGGCCTGGTTTCCCCTGAGTAGAGAGCTGCCCTACCACCTATCCAACAACCAAAATAGTGCCTTTCAAATAATACGGTTTTTTGCTGGGGAGTTGCAACAAAAAGCTTTGTAGGTGGGCCAGAGAGATAGTATAGAGGTTAAAGCAACTGCCTTGCACGTCGTGAACCCAGTTCAATCCCTAGTACTGATCCCTGAGCACTCCCAAGTATGGGCCCCAAACCAGACAAAACCAAAATCAAACAAGTTTTGCAGGGTCTAGAAAGATAGCCCAACAGACTAAGTGAATGATTTGGATGTGGGAGATCTGGGTTTGATTCCTGCTACTGCATAGTCTTCCAGAGCACTACTGGGAGGGACCTCTGAACCAAGAGTAAGCCTAAGTGAGGCTGGCGCGGGTATGGCGTTTGTCTTGCACACAGCCAACTTCGGATAAACTCCGGACATCCCATATGGTCCCCCAAGCACCACCAGGAGTAACTCCTGAGTGCAGAGCCAGAAGTAACCCCTGAGCATCGATGGGGTTTACCCAAAAAAGCAAAAAAAAAAAAAAAAAGTAACCCTGAGCATCACTAGTGTGGCCCAAAACCAAACAGGAAAATAAAACATTTTGCAGCCAGTTTAATTCCCTACATAGGAAAATAAATTGAAAATTCACCTTTAAAATGAAAACAGAAAAAATAATCATCCAGAGGAAAAGATATTACTTCTAGGAAAGGAAATCCAGCTTTTCATTAGCTGGAAGTTAATGGAATAGCATCTGCAAGCTGCTGAGGCAAAGTGGAAACCTTAAAATTTAGTAAAGTCTAATAATCATTTTAGATTGAGAACAAAATAGACATTTCCAGACAAATAGGATCCTGAAAGTGCCCAAAGGCTTTTGGCAAAATAATTACTAAAAACATACTGAATAAAAGAGTGAACTTAAGTACAGTGGATGCAAGAATCAACTGGCTGATCTTTTGCAAACCACAACACCCAAAAGGAGAGAGAGAACAAAAGGGAATACCCTGCCACAGAGGCAGGGTGAGATTAGGGGGAATGGGGGGTGGGAGGGATATTGGGACCCATGGTGGTGGATAATTGGCACTGGTGGAGGGATAGGTGTTTGATCATTGTACAATTGAAACCCAAGCACAAAAAAATTGTAAATCTACAACTGTACCTTATGGTGTTTCACTAACAAAAATTTAAAAAAAAATGTAAATGATGGAGAATGGGCACTCGTGGAGGGATGGGTACTGGATCATTGTATAACTGAAACCCAAGCACAAAAATTTGTAAGTCTACAACTGTACCTCATGGTGTTTCACTAATAAAAATTAAAAAAAAAAAATCAACTGGCTGAGCAAACAGGGAAAACAAGAGCACAGCCAAAATGCACCCTGTTGGGGCTAGAGCAATAGCACAGCAGGTAGGGCGTTTGCCTTGCATGCGGCAGACCCAGATTCGATTCCCAGCATCCCATATGGTCCCCCGAGCACCGCCAGGAGAGATTCCTGCACGCATGAACCAGGAGAAACTCCAGTGCATCTCCGGGTGTGATCTAAAAAAGCAAAATGCGCCCTGTGGGTCTCAGAGGAATAGTCCAGTACCTGACAGTGTCTGCCTTACAAGCATGTGGTCTTGAGTTCAAATCCTGAGTGTCCTATGTGTGCCAGGTAGGACTGGTAGCTCTGCTGCCTGCCATCACCAATGCTCCAAGCAACTTCTGCCCAGACCGTAGCCTTGTGTTAGCACCATCTAAAAGGGTGTGACTTCTGGTTGAGCATAGTGAACCCAGCTAAGCCCCACAACCATACCTGTGTGCTTCAGCCAAGAGTGACCTACAGGAGGGAAAAGTGCAAGCACAATTAAAAGGAGTGCAAACCTTGGTGAGCACCATCACTAGGTGTGTGAGCCTGACACGTGACAACCCTTCCACCCTTCCAGGCAACAAAGCTCAAGATATTACAAGTACCACAGCCCCGAGTATTCAATCCCCAGCCATCCCATCACAACAACATTAACAACAAAAAGGGAAGGGGGAGAGGGCAGGGAATAAGAAAAATAAGTCGTGTATTGCAAAATATGAACCTTCTTAGAATAATGGGTCAACAAACACCAAAATCTTGTGACTTTTTAATCCATTTATTCATTGCTGATACATATTAACGTTTCGTTTGACTTCTCTCGAAGTAAAACATGTTGTACAGTACAGCTGTATCCTGACACGTTAGGGTAGTTTGGCAAGTTCTAGTCTCTTTCAGCCTGATCTATTTAGCAGAAGTCATTATTTTATCAACCAACTGTTGAAATGTCCTTAATCAATTCCTAATGTTTACATACAAACTTTATCATTCATTGCCTATTATTAACACACTAGGCAAATAGTCTCTGCCCAGAGTCCCTACCTGTGCTCCGTCCTTTTCTAAGACTAATTTCTTCAGAATTTTGTCCTGCTACTGCAATTCAACCCCACTCCCTTTCCACAGAGCCCAATCTCTGCTCACATCTATTTTTTACAAATGCAGCCTTTCATGTTCTTTTTACATACATACTGTCTCTCTCCTCCTCCCAGTGATAAGCTTCTTGAAGAAGAAGGTTGTTTTTCACCTCTATCAGCACACACCTTGCAGTGTCTGGCACGTAGGAGGCATTCAGTAAATCTTCGCTGACTGTGTAAATAGCTTTATGGCTTGGATATTTAAAGTTATCCATACTTTATTTTAAATCATACCCAGTTTGAGATGAAGTCGTTAAAAATATATATATATATATATAATGTTTCAGGATCCTTACAACCATTGAAATAACTACACAATTTCACACACTAAATTCATAATATAGACAAATTTAAAACTATTATAAATAACTAATGCTTTATATTTTGTCACTATATATGCATAAAAGTAGAATGACCTAATTAAAATACTTCGCTCCTATTTCTAATTCTAAAAAAATGTAAAAAATTTGTTATATATCTTTCAGAAATAAAACCAATATCCCACCACCAACTTTATGGGAAAACAGTTTTATAAGTTTGGTACATTGTAAGTTAACTAAGAAGGAAAAATAAATGTATGATCATAAACTGGTATTATATTTGAATATGGTTAAAATTTTCATCAAAACTACAAATTTCTCTAAATGTGCATTTGGCAAGGAGATGAATTGTTGGCCAATATGATACAAGCATCTCAACACCTTACATTCCCCAATATTGAAAATATTGGATGAAAAAATTAGGAAGAAAATCTGTTACAAAAAGACAGTAATTTAAAGAGTCTCAGACCTTTTATTACTAAAAACAGAGATGCTATTTTAATTATTACTTGGCTCTGGCATGGAAAACTCAAAGCCATTTATTCAAAATCGACTAATTTTATTTTCTGTTCCACACAGAGCTGTCCAAGTGATTGTGAGAACTGAAATGGAGTTACCTGTTCTTTGTGATTCTAGTTCTAACTCAGGTTATTTTTAAACATCATTTATAAGCACATTGGCAAAATGTGGTCTTCAGAATTTACACCACATGAACATATTTTGTAAAAACATCTTTGTCTTTCTGGTGACTATAATTTTTGAAATGGGAATTCAAGATAAATGCATCACATAACAAATTCCATGTTACAGTACAGTGTGTTAAAGTAAGGCGTCAGTGTATTTTAGAAAAGCAATAGCAAGCTGCAGCTTCTTTTCATGTTTACTGGAAAAAAACAGTTCGATAAATGCTTTCTATCTTGGATGAACAGAAACCCATCTCCTTAGAAAAACCATTTGTTAAATACATTTCTGGTAACTTAGCATTCAACTTTAAGCAACTATTTCAACATTAAGCAACTATTTGGTCATATTACTTTGTTTATGGCTTTTTAAACATTAGGTCCTTAAATATTTGAAAAATATGGACTATATTCTGATAAATTCATGAAAAAAGTTGTGAAACCAGCTTGTAAAATATAGAGACCCATACCCCATTATTTAAAGGTTATTCACTAACAGAAATTTAATGTACAGAAGTTAAAAAAAATGTAAAAGTTCCTTACAGGATCATCTTCACAAAATAAATCTACAATCTTGCTTCTTTGTCAAGAGGGGTTAGGAATAAAACACAAAAAAGCTCCTGCTGAAGTTTGGATACTTTCACATTCCCCCCTGCCACACACACTTTAAAAAAAAATCTTTTAAACAATCCATTTTTAAGTCCAGGGTTTTGAAAGAGAATTTGATAGTAAAGTTCCCCCACTTCCCTCAATATGCTGGCCAATTCAGTGTATAGGCTTAAATTAAAATGCGCGTTTATTTAAAGATTTATATGGAAAAGTTGTGCATTTATATAATTCTAGTTAAAAATTAAATACTAATAACATCAGATAAAATTAATACAAAAACTACATAAGGCTTTAGAAAGCTCAGAATCTAAGTAAGATTTAGCAAGAAAATTATTTGTCTCCATATTACAATTTTAATCATCAAATAATTCAACCAGTAACCATAAAACCTTAAGATAGGAAGAGTCTAGTGTACTTATAATTCCTTAATCTGCAAAACTGGGTAGTGGGGGAGAATTCATTTTGCTGAAAAAAAAATCTCTTAAGAATTTATCAAGAGATTTTTATTTTCTGCACCAGGGATCAAACCCAGGGTCTTACATATGCAAGGTAGGTATCCTACTATGAGACTATATGAAATTTTAAAATATTTTTCAAACCATTTGGGTTATAAATACAAAATTGTGAAATTAAGGAAATATCTATCAAAGGTCATAGCTAATATATTCGCTATTTTATTTTGGTTTTTGTTTTCTTTCTTTCTTTCTCTCTCTCTCTTTTGTAACTGGGGGGAGCCCCTGGGTATTACTCAAGGTTTATTCCTAACTCAGTGCTTGAGAGTCACTCCTGGTGGTGCTAGGTGATCATGCAGTGCTAGGGATTGAACCTGGGCCTCCTGCATGCTAAGTATGTGCTTCAGCTCTTTGAGCTATTTTCCTGGCCTATTTTCCGGTTCTTAAACCAAGGAGGACTTATACTAAATGATATAAAGTTTCTTCAAGCTCTATACTTTTATTTTGAAGTAGTTAAGTTCATATCTCAAAGTTATTTATATAGCTATCATTGTCCCTGAATTAAAAGTTGTTTTCATTCCTTTTCTGGCTTTCAGCCTTGTAGTCAATTATTAGTGAGGAATGAAAATCACAAACTTTATTTGACTTTAACCTTTGGCTCCGTACTGCCTCCGTTCTCTACAGCCCACACATTACCTAGTATGTGCTGAGCACATAGAAAATGCTCAATCCTTATGAAATATTTTTAAATGAGTAGAAAAATATTAAGGATGGGTAATTTTTTTAAAAATTCTATTGATGATAATGCCTTCATAAAGACCCCAAGCAATAATTTCTAAATTTCTGATTTTTTCAGATTCACTTTGGTATGTCTTTGTAAATAATAGCAAGAAAATATAGCACAAGAATACAAGGCTAAATCATGATAATAAAATACTATTAAGGACACGTAAAAAAATGTTGTTTCCATTCATGTTATTGATGAAGAAGTACATTTTTATTTACACTACTAGTAGAACCCGGCTACTCCAGTTAACTCTGGTATATAATCATCTAACCAATGACAAGAAAAATATCTTCCAGTATTTCAGTTTTAACAAATGTAATTAAATTGCTCATTCTATAGAATAAGAAGCAATTAATGGGTACTTTTGGAAATAAAAAAGTGTATATACATTACCCTGATATATAGCCAGCAAATTTACTTGATTTCTATTGGTCATAAAAATAAAGGAAAAAATATATTGCAAGTATTTTCTTTATAGACAACTTCAATTAGAAAACAACAGTTTAATGGAAACAATACAGAGATTCGTGTGAGTGATGTGGAGGCAAGAAAAGTATTCAAATCTTGACAGTAACATATGTCAGCTATCACTGAGAAATACCTGCCTCGGGGATACCATGTGTAGGCAGTCATTAGATTTTTACATATCTCAATTGTTTCATATATTCAGGGAAAATACAACTGGGAGGTGACGATCCTGACTGCAGTTAGGAGCCCCTCCGTTTAGCCTGGATGATGTAGCCTTTCGATTTGATGATTCCTCTGCTTTTAACAATGACGGAATAACGCAGCAGCCACAGGGGCACCCACTCTTGGGCCTGGATGTCAGGGATACTTTCCTGGAGAGCTTCTTGGAAACTTGCTTCAGAAAGCAGTTCTTTAAGGGGAAAAAAAAAACGGAACACAATGAAAACCCAAAGTGTCAACTATGGAAACAAAAGCCCTTCATTATGCCAGTGAGTATTTAAATACAAGCAAGTGGTCTTTGTACAAGGCCGACCTGGGATCCATCCCCAGCACCCCTTTATGGTTCCCCAAACCCTGCCAAGAGTGATCCCTGTACACAGTCAGGAATAAGTCCTGAGCACAGCCAAAACTGTAATGTATAAAAAAAACCCACATATATGTATATAAGATTATATATACATATAAATTATATCTATGTTTTGTTTTGTTTTTTACAAAATATATACACCCGTTCCCCAGCTTATTTCATTCATAATTCCTGTTGAGTGGAGTCTGGGTATTTTGTTTCAAGGACCTCCAGAAATTCTTTTATTTTTGTTTTACGGGACCACATCTAGCAGTGCTAAAGGCTGAGGGTTGACGGTCAGAAGTGACAGTGCTTGGAGACCAGGCCTCCTGCATGCCCAGCATGTATTCAGTCCCTTGAGCTACCTCTTCAGCTTGTTCCAGGTAAATCCTAAAGTATAGCCAGGGCAAATACCGGATGGTAGTAAAGTAAAAGCCCTCCCGTTGATCACCGATTTGCTCGAGCGGGTCCAGTAACGTCTCCATTGGAGACTTTGTTGCTACTGTGTCTGGCATATCGAATACGTCACGGGGAGCTTGCCAGGCTCTGCCGTGCGGGCGAGATACTCTCGGTAGCTTGCCGGGCTCTCCGAAAGGGGCGGAGGAATCGAACTCGGGTCGGCCACGTTGGCTGCGTGCAAGGCAAACGCCCTACCACTGTGCTATCGCTCCGGATGGTACAAAGAAAATTTTTTGGAAAATTGCCCATAGTCCCATTCAATCAGCGATAAACCAATCTCTTTGATCTCTCTCTACAAATCTAGAAATCTGACTGTACTTTGATTTACTTATTTTACATTCTATTCTCAAGGTTTAATCTGTTTAACCAACTGAACTGAAAAGCTCCCACCGAGGTCATGACTAACCTAACAGGCAGTGGCTAAAGGGCTGCCTACAGACAGTGCAGTTTGGAGGCATGCACAGGACTCACCTGCTCCAAATGAACTGCTGCACCATTGGAAAAGAAAGAGAAATGCCCTATACGTTGCTGTTATGCACGTCATAAAGTCTTTTTCTGAGTACAAGTCTGAGCATATGTGATACATGTCATAACCCTGTAAGATATATATCTTCCTTTCCATGGGGAAACTGAGGTAGAGAGGTCAACCCAAGATCAGACCACTAGTAAATGGTGGCTTAATTAACAAAATGCAGGTGTTTCTTTGGAAAAGTAACACTAATGTGGATGCACTTTTATCAGGCTCTCTAACTGAGAAGAGGCCCTGGGGGAGTGAGATTAGATCTAATTAGGGGTAGGAAGCAACAATCAAAAGGAGAAAGTTCTAAAGTCAGGGTCATCAGTATCGTTTGACCCTGACTATTCACAGCTACCACAACTTAGAGGCTGTTGTAACTTAGAGGCTAAATAGTAATAAAACCTTTCTGAGGAATAAGAGAATTTTAGAACATAGGTAAGCCTTTGGCGGACTTAGAAACAAAGTTCTATTTTTAGATAACAAGTAAAGTTAAATGTTTTACAACCTAATTGCTTAAAAATTTAACAGCTGACACAAAACCAGAGAACTATGTTATTCATTAACTACATACTTTTTGGGGGGGGCAGGGGGGGTTAGTCTTGGCAATGCTGGGGGAGGAGGAGCTACTTTCTGCATAGTACTCAGGGAACCAATTATAGCTAGGACTTCGAGTCCGAGCTTCCTGCATGAAAAGAATGTGCTCGAGCTCTTTGACTCATTTCCCCAACTCTAACTACATAGGACTGATTAAGTATATTAACTCTTCTTGTTTGTTTTTTTGTTTGAGGGCCACACCCAGTGATGCTCAGGGCCTACTCCTGGCTCTACTCAGGGATCACTTCTTCTTTTTTTCCCAGTATGCTCAGGGGTTACTCCAAGCTCTGCACTACTTCTGGCTGTGCTCAGGGGACCCTATGGGGTGCCAGGGATAGAATCTGGGTTGGCTGCATGCAAGGTAAACACCTTACCTGATGTACTATCTCTCCAGTCACTCAAGTATGTTAACGCTTTAAAATCAATAACATGAGAAATCTTTAAAGAGAAGTATGCTTACTTATGGATCAACATTTCTGAGGATTAATGTCAGCCTATCTACATATTCTAATAGAAAGGTTTAGAATTCAAACTGGACAGACAGCCAAGTATCAAAGTATACCAGTAATAATTTTTTTTTAAAAAAAGGGCTGGAGCGATAACACAGCAGGTATGGCATTTGCCTTGCACACAGCCAACACAGGTTCAATCCCCTGAGCATTGTCAGGAGAAATTTTTGTGTGTAGAGCCAGGAGCAACCCCTGAACATTGCTGGGTGTGACCCAAAAATCAAAACCAAATAAACAAATAACCCCCTTCCCAAAAAAGTATACCAGTAATACAAAAACATACCAAAACCAAATTATATCTGCTTTCTCTTAATACATATGCAATATATTTACTTTCCCAGAATAATCATATACTATTAGCACATACTCTGTAAGTCAAAATTTAGATAATATAAAGATAAAATACTAGCCACCTTAGTCTTTTCCTTTCATACTGTAACAAGAACAGTTTTATTTTTTTATGTGAGGGAAAATAGGATGCAAGCTTATCCATCAGCTGCTGGTAATGATTACTGTTGGAGTAGCCTTGCCAAAATTGATACATCATGTACTATCTACCAACATATAGACAACGAAAATTTAAAGTCAGCTGGTTGATCTTGGCTAGCTTCTTAAATTCTGAAGCTCTATTTGCTCATCGATAGAATGCCTACTATTATTAATTGGCTGTATTATGGATCAACTCTCTGAGGTACAGAGCAAAATGACTATCATTTAAGGAGAAGTAACTGTATAACTCTTCCTCCTCTCCCTATAGGAAAGCAGAAAAATGAAAATGTGAATACCAATAAATAGCATACATTCTTCAAAGGTTACTACTATAACTATGCTAAAAATAAATGGAATCAAATGGAATCAATCATCACTATAATGCCACTTTTTTAAGACACAGAAGTAAAAACTGAATGCATATTCCAGGAGTTGTCTATAAAACATAATTTCCTCTAATATCTGTTAAGACTATAATTGATATTAAAATGTCACGGAAGGGTCGGAGCGATAGTATAGCGGGTAGGGCATTTGCCTTGCATGTGGCCGACCTGGGTTTGATCCCCAGCATCCCATATAGTCCCCCAAGCACCACCAGGAGTAATTCCTGAGTGCAGAGCCAGGGGTAACTTCTGAGCATCACTGGGTGTGATTCAAAAAGCAAATAGAATGTCATGGAAGGGCTGGAGAGAGAATTTGCCTTGCACATGGGCCAACCCACGTTTCGTCCCCGGCATTCCATATGTTCTCCTGAGCCTGACAGGAGTGATTCCCAAGAGCAGAGCCAGAAGTAATCCCTGAACAGGTGTTCCAAAACAAACAAAAATGTCATGGAAATTTAAACTTTTCACAAGACTTTCCCATATCTACTATACCAAAGATACAATTTCATTTAGCCCGTTTATTAGGTAAGCTCCTCCTCACCCCATGAAAGAACAAGGTAAAAAATAAGACAGGAGTAGATTCAAGATAAATAGTACAAAGTGTTAAATATTTTCTTCCCAGCTAGCTATTTACAAGACTAGTTATTTTGCAAAATGTTGGTAAAAATTTATTCTGCAGAAGGCAGGAAAGTCATTCTTTAATCAAATAATGTTTAACACCAAACGTAAGTCTTGATAGTAATGATTAATCAAATAGGTATCAATTACCTACCCTAAGATGTTTAAGTTTTAAATTAAATTTTGTCTGCCTTTTTCCAGATATTTATGCTCTTTAATTCAGTAGCTCATTGGTGCACTATGTACTGGCCTACTGTTCTAAACAATATAACATATAATACCACTTAAAATATCTTTTTGTTTATGTTGAGGGTCAAATGCAAGGCCTTGCGTATGTAAAGAATGTGTTCTGCCAATGATCTACTCCCTTATCCTAATAAAGTAAAGGCCCTCCCGTTGATCATCGATTTGCTCGAGTGGGCCCAGTAATGTCTCCATTGGAGACTTTGTTGTTACTGTGTTTGGCATATCGAATACGTCACAGGGAGCTTGCCAGGCTCAGCCATGCGGGCGAGATACTCTCGTAGCTTGCCGGGCCCTCTGAGAGGGGCGGAGGAATCGAACTCGGGTCAGTCATGTTGGCTGCGTGCAAGGCCCTTATCCTTTATTTTTTTGGTTTTGGGGCCACACACAGCCAACAGTGCTCAGGGCTTATTCCCTTTTTTTTTTCCGCTTTTTGGGTCACACCCACAGATGCACAGGGGTTACTCCTGGCTCTGCACTCAGGAATTACTCCTGGCGGTGCTCAGGGGACCATATGGGATGCTGGGAATTGAACCCGGGTAGGCCGTGTGCAAGGCAAACACCATACCCGCTGTACTATCACTCCAGCTCCCTCAGGGCTTATGCCTGGTTTAGCTGAGGAACAATATGGGGCACTACATGGGGATCAAACTCAGGCCGGCCACATGCAAGGCAAGCACCCTACTCACTGTACTATTTCTCCAGTCCCTACACTAGAATATCTTAAAATATCTTTTTTGACCACAAAGAGATAAGACAGCTCAGCAGACTAAACACATGCTTTGTATGTTGGATGCCCAGGTTCAATCCACAGCACTACAAGTTCCTCCTGTCACCACTGGATGACCCCCCAAGCACTGTGTCAGGAGTAATTCCCCTGCACTTTTGGGTGTGACCCCAAACCAATAAAAACAAGAAGAGTATTTGTTGCATAGCTTAATATAAGCCTTCACACACCATATGTTCAGGATATAATCATTTCACTTCTCTTCCCACTGGTACAAAGACAAAAATTAAAGCTTTCTGAAAATATACTCACACATTTTGAATCAACCATTAAAAACAGTTCAAGATTTAAGTATCACTGTAAACACAGCTTTTTATAAGATTAAAGGTAAAGGTAAAGGCCCTCCCGTTGATCGTCGATTTGCTCGAGCGGGCCCAGTAACGTCTCCATTGGAGACTTTGTTGTTACTGTGTCTGGCATATCGAATCCTCTTGGTAGCTTGCCGGGCTCTCCGAGAGGAGCGGAGGAATCGAACTCGGGTTGGCCATGTTGGCCGCTTGTAAGGCAAACGCCCTACCCGCTGTGCTATCGCTCCCGATGATCAACGGGAGGGCCTTTATAAGATTATCAATTTATAAATAAAAATGCCAAGCATACCTTTTGGATCATTGTGAGTTAATAGCTGTATGTCAAATTGTTTAGCAAATGCAGTCAAATCAGGTGGCATCACACAGCAAGAGGCAAGGTTAACTTGGTTACTATTTGGTTTTACCTAAAAATGAAAATAAAATCATGATATCGCCAATTAATACAAAACATCAAAAGTAATGAATCCTAAATTTTACCATGTATAAATTATACACCATAGAACTTAGAAGTTTAAGAGATCAGAGAGATAGTACTGGGCTTAAGGCACTTGCTTTGCTTTGCATGCAGCTGACCCCACTTTGAGCCCAGCACTGAGCACCAGAAGGAGTGACCCCAGAAGTAGTCCCTGAGCACCACCAGGAGTGACCCCAAAACTGTACCTCCCCACCAGAGAAAACCTTTGAAATTTTATTAAATACACTTACAGAAATAAAATTACTACGTATAGTTTTCTAATTCATATTATGTCAGGAAAAGGAAAAATAATTCTAGGAATAAGAAAAGTTATTATAAAAGGAGGACACGAGAAAATGGAAAGATATTCCCTGCTCATGGATCAGGAGAATTAACATTGTCAAAATGGCAATACTTCACAAAGCATTGTACAAATTCAATGCGATCCCTATAACGATACCCATGACATTCTTCAAAGAAATGGAGCAAACACTCTTGAAATTCATATGGAACAATAAGCCCCCACGAATAGCTAAAGCAATTCTTGGGAAAAAGAAAATGGGAGGAATCAACCTCCCTAACTTCAAACTCTACTACAAAGCAGTAATAATTAAAACAGCATGGTACTGGAACAAAGGCAGAGCTGCAGACCAATGGAACAGGGTTGAATATAGTGACATCTCCCTCCAATCACGATCATCCTGTTGTTCGTTGATTACCTCAAGCAGG